GGCTTGGAGCAACCTGGGCTGGTGGGAGGTGTCCCTGCCCATGCAGGGCGGTGGATCTAGATGATCTTCATGCTCCTTCCAACCTAAACCAGTCCTGCATCCAGTGACTTCCAGTCGAGGGCCCTGGGGCAGGTGCTGCAGCAGATGTTGGCTGCAGGACCTCAGCTGCCTGGATCCTGCCAGAGACTGGTGACTCAGCCCAGTGCTGCGCCCTGACTGGTTGGACTGGGGTTACTGTGGGGCGGGGAGAGCAGGCAGGGCCCCACGGGGCTGTGGCTTGGGTGGAAATCCCCTGGTTCTGAGGCTGTGGGTGGGGTGACCAAGCCAGCAGGACAGACAGACAGATGGATGGAGCTCCAGAAGGTCCTGAGCAGCTCTCCCCTCCCTCCCCACCCAAGGACACCAACCCCCCCCCAGTGTCAGGGCTGAGGCATCAAACCCAGGGGCTGCTGCCCCTGCTTGGGTGGGGGGTGTCCCCGTCCCTGGGCAGGGGGCTCAGAGCCCTCCAGAGCTTCTCATGGAGCCACCCCCTGGTGCTGCCGTCCCTGGTGCCACCTCCTGGTGATTCCCGGTCTCTTGTGCCCCCATGTGGAGAACGATCCATCTTCTCTCCCCCCCACAGCTTCCCTGGGCAACCTGGGCCAGGCTCTCCCCACCCTCACAGCCCAGAATTTCTCCCTCCCATCTCAGCTCCAGCTCCCTCTGCCAGCTGGAAACCCTTCCCCCTGCTCCCATCCCTCCCTGCCCTTGTCTCAAGCCCCTCCCCAGCTTTCCTGGAGCCCCTTCAGGCACTGGAAGCTGCTCTCAGGTCTCCCTGGAGCCTTCTCTTCTCCAGGCTGAACACCCCAACTCTCCCAGCCTGGCCCCAGAGCTGCTCCAGCCCTCCCAGCATCTCTGTGTCCTCCTCTGGACTCCCTCCATCAGCTCCATCTCCTTCTGGTGCTGGGTCCTCCAAAACTGAACCCAGTTCCCTAGGAGGGTCTCACCAGAGTGGAGAAGAGGAACAATCCCCTCCCTGACCTGCTGGTCACGCTGCTGGGGATGCAGCCCAGGACACAGTTGGCTTGGATGGGTCATGGGAGGCAACTGGGGGAGCTGGGGGTGTCAGGCAGCTTGGGGGGGGGTTCAGGATGCTAATGACTCATTAACATATTAATTAACCTATCCTGGGGTCACACCACATCCCCCCCCCCCCTCAGTTGCCTCCCGCGCTTTCGCTTTCGGTTCCAACCTGCGGAGCTGGGATCTGCCCGGCGCCCGGTGACGTCACGTGCGTCCCGCGCTGCCATTGGTGGGCTGGGGGTTGAGGGAGCCAATCGCGGGGGGCGCTGAAACGAGCGGAGCGATGGAGCCGGAGCTGGAGC